CCCACACGGGGTTGCCAGCTTGCTCTTGTCTCAGAGCCAGTTCCAGCTCCGAGTCACATGCAGGAAAACAACAGCCCAGCGACCAAAAATAAAATACTGGAACCATTCAAGTCTTTGCTACAGAGAAAATGCCCAGGCAGGATTGCAGTCAGGACTCAGGGCCAAACTTAACCCCCTCTTCCTCCTTTTTCTCTAGTAAGACTCAGGCCCCTTTCCCTCCACCAGGCATGGAAGCTGCTCCCTAATTTTTTTTTGCTCAAAAAATTCCCCCCAAACTCTCTTCCACAAAGCTGCCCTGTCCTTGGTTCTCCTGTCTCTTCCCCTTTCAGCTCCAACTTTTTATCTTCTGTTTCTTTTTTTTCTCGTCCTGTCTTTTGGCACTGACAGTTTTTTATTTTCATCAGCTTAGCTCCTTGCTGGCTTCCCCACCACACCTGTGCTGCTCCTTACTCTGATTCTGCATAACAAGGTCGTGTCTGGGGGCTGCGCCAGCTGGTGGGAATGCAGCTTCCCTGGAGGCTCAGAAGGCCCCCATATTCCCCTTTCCTTTACCCCAGCACACACCCATCGTGGTATTCCATGCACCCTCATGGTCTGGGTTCCCTCTCTGCTGCAGCTGATACCCACAGGGCCCACAGAGGGATCAGCCCTGGACAGCCAGGGACCACAATTTAATGTGAACGATCCCAGTGTCTGGAGTTCAGAGAGGAATGGCTGCTGGGGTGGCCTTGATCCCCGAGATAATAAGTTTGGGATTTTTTTTTTTTTTTTTTGAGACGGAGTCTCTGTCACCCAGGCTGGAGTGCAGTGGCGTGATCTTGGCTCACTGCAAGCTCCGCCTCCCGGGTTCACTCCATTCTCTTGCCTCAGCCTCTTGAGTAACTGGGACTACAGGCGCCCGCCACCACGCCCGGCTAATTTTTTTGTATTTTCAGTAGAGACGGGGTTTCACCGTGTTAGCCAGGATGGTCTCAATCTCCTGACCTCGTCCGAGTTTGGAATTTATCCTGAGGACCTCCTCTGGCAGGCCTGGATGGAGGACAGATGGAGAACTCAGAGGCAGTGGAATGCCTCCTTTGGACTTGATTTTCTGGGTTTCAGCCTCCCTCTGCTGGCTTTGTGTAGCCCACGCCACCTTTAAACTGTGCCACCTTTAAACTGTGCAGACCACATTGACTCAAATGCAGGCTCTGCCATCTTTAAACTGTGCAACCTTGGCCAGCTGTGCCTCAGTGTCCTCATCTATAAAATGAGTTTGACATTAGTACTTACCACTTAGCGTTTTCAGGAGTATTATAGGATTTAACACACAGAAGGGGCTTAGAACTGTGCCTGGAACACAGTAAGCACTCAATAAATAGCAGCAACTTTCAAAGTGCTGATACAGGTGTCCAGCTCATAGAATGCCCTCAGCAAAAGAAAGCTCATTACTATCACTCAGTGATGTCATTGATCAACTCACAGCCTGAGCAGAATTAATGACATCTCCAATTACGAGGTCAATTTAGAACCTGGGTGGGCATGATGATATCACAAGTTGCCAGGTAGATTTAGCCCGGGGTAGTGTTGACATCACCAGTTACCAGGTAGAGTATAGTTAAAATGTGGGTGCCCAGTGCCTTCTTCCCTGTTTGAAATTCTGTTGTGTCCCAGTCCACACTCCTCCTAGCGCCCTTGCGAACAGGACTTTCATGTCTCTGGACCTCAGTTTGTTTTTTTTCTTTTCTTTTCTTTTCCTTTTTCTTTTCTTTCTTTTTCTTTTCTTTTCTTTCTTTCTTTTTTTTTTTTTTTTTTTTTTGAGATAGAGTCTCACTCTGTCACCCAGACTAGAGTGCAATGGCACAATCTTGGCTTACTGCAAACTCTACCTCCCGAGTTCAAGCGAATCTCCTACCTCAGCCTCCCAAGTAGCTGGGACTACAGATGCCCACTATCATGCCTGGCTAATGTTTGTATTTTTAGTAGAGATAGGGTTTCACCATGTTGGGTAGGCTGATCTCAAACTCCTGGCCTCAGGTGATTCTCCCACCTCAGCTCCTCAAAGTGCTGGGATTGCAGGGGTGAGCCACCGCACCTGGCCTGGACCTCAGTTTTCTATCCATCAAATGGGGATAATAAAAGCACCAGCCTCGTAGGGTTGTGGAGAGGATCCAATGAGTTAATATATAAAAGGGCATAATGTCCAGCACACAGTCAGCACTCCATACACAGCAGCACTCATTAGCTTTACTGTAGGATGTTTCCATGGAGAACACTCCAGCCAGAGTGACAGGAGCCCTCAGCTCTGTCTTGGTTAAGACAGATTCAGGGGTCTAATCCACAGGACTTGGAGCCCAGATCCACCACTAGCAGTAGTCAGGAGACCCGGGACATGTTGCTGGCCTATAAAGCGGGGTAGTGACTGTGCCAGCCTCACAGGGCTGGCATGAGGATGCACTGACATAATGACGGTCATGTTTCCAGCGCACAATCAGACCTCACAACCATGAGCTGTGTTATCACTGCGGGTACTCTCAGAAAGGTCCTTTCCTCCCCAGGATGCAGTTTCCCCACCTGCAAAGAAGTGGAAGGTGGCTGTGGCAATCTCAAAGCCATGGCAATCTTGACACTGTGACTGCAGGGACTGTCCTGTGTTTCGCCTTTGCTGTTGCTGAGCAAATGCATTGGGAGTTGGATGCTTGAATCTGTGTCTGCCCTCAGCATCCAACTCTAGCTTCTCTTGTCTCTGTGTCTGCCCATCTCTTATCTCCCAACTTTTCCTTTCATCTTTCTCTGGCTTCTTTCTCCTACACTAGACTTCGTATGTATATAGTTTCTTTCCTGCATGCCGTTTGAAGGACAATAAATGACAATAGTCATGATAATCAGCATTTTCTTTTTCTTCTCTTTCTTTCTTTTTCTTTTTTTTGACATGGAGTCTTGCTCTGCCACCCAGGCTGGAGTGCAGTGGTGCTATCTCCGCTCACTGCAACCTCCGCCTCCCAGGTTCCAGTGATTCTCCTGCCTCAGCCTCCTGAGTAGCTGGGATTACAGGTGTGAGCCACTATGCTTGAATGCTGTTTGTATTTTTAGTAGAGGCAGGGTTTCACCATGTTGGCCAGGCTGCTCTCGAACTCCTGACTTCAAGTGATCTGCCCGCCTCGGCTTCCCAAAGTGCTGGGATTAGAGGCATGAGCCACTGCTCCTGGCCAGTATTTTCTTATTCAGCCTTTCCCCCAGTGCCAGGATTGTACTAAGAGCTTTGTATGCACTAATTCACTTAATCCACTCAATACAAGCACTCATTACTATTTATTCAACAAACACTTATTAAACACCTACTGTGTGCCAGGCACTGATGATTCGGCACTGAACAAAATAAAGATCTTTGTCCTCGTGGGACTTAAATTCTAGCGAGGAGACAGATGATAAACAGCTAAATTAGCAAACACTCCCAGTGCTATGAGAAAAAGCAACGTGGGGTCAAGCGAGAGACAGTGATGAGCGGAACTGTCTTATATAGGATGGCCAGGAAAGGCCTCTTGGAAGAGGTGATATTGGAGCAGAACAGATGATGTGGGAGGGAGGCTGTCATGAAAATTCCGGGAAAGAGCATTCCTGGTGGACCTAACAGAGAATGCAACGGCCTCGGGGGCAGCGCCAGGCTTCAGGAGTGTTCGAGAAATTGAGCCAGTGTGGCTGGAGCAGTATGAAGGGAAGGGCCTGGGGGTGAGGTCAGAGAAAGCAAAAGGGCCATATTCTGCAGGACCTCGTTGGCCGTGGTGAGTTCTTAGACTTTTCCTGAGTGAAATGGGAGCCATGGAAGGCTCTGAACAGAGGAAAGTCCCCATCTGAATAGAGTAGACTGTAGGGAAGGCAAGGGTGAAGGCAGACAGTCCATCACTCCCTTTTTATGAGTGCGGAAATAAATGGAATCTCAAAAAAGTCCAGCAACTGGCCTGAGCCCACACAGCTGCTGAGCAGCCGAGCCAGGCTGGTAGGCCACCTTGGGTTCAGTGGAGCCATTCCTTCATGCCCTTGGCTCTTTTTATTTTCCTTTTAAATAGAGATGGGGCCTATGTTGCCCAGACTGGTCTTGACCTCCTGGGCTCAAGTGATCCTCCCACCCTGGCCTCCCAAAGTGTTGGGATTACAGGTGTGAGCCACGGCCCCCTTCCAACTTTGGGAAGTCTTTTGGCTCTCCTGAGCCTCAGTTTTCCCATCTGTAAATTGTAAATGGGGAATCATTACTACGTTTGGGCATAGCATGGCGGTTAAAAGCACAACTTCTGGTTGGGTCTGAGTTCTTGCTCTGTCATCGGCCAGCTCTGTGACTTTCTGCAATTAACACGCTCTTTCTGAGCTTGGGGTTACCTCATCTAGAAGATGAAAATCTTAATAGCACCAATTTCAAGGGCTTCGTTGTAAGGATTAAATGAGATCATGCAGGTAAGGCGTTTAGCACAGCTCCCGGTCTACATCGGGTGCTCGATAAACGATCATTGTTATTCTGATGGTATCACGGCCCACACCTCCCCGGTGGGTGAGAGCCTGGGAGGGTGCCTGGTACATGGTCTACGTTCGACAAAAGTGAATTCTCTCTCCTGTCTCTCCTGCCCGCCGGCTCCCGGGGGACCCAGGCATTCCGGCCTTCGGCCGGCCCCCCCACGCCGGCCCTGACAAAGGCCCCCATTCATGCCTTGCGCACAAAGCGGCCCATTCACCCGGGCCCCTTGGGCCTCCCGCCCCCGGCCGCCCCCCACGCCTCGCTATTGGTGGCGCCCTGTGCCCGTCAGGCCTCGGCTTCCACCCCCGACCGCGCCGCTTAGCTCCGCGCTCGGGCCGCGTTCTTTTCCCACGGCTGGCACCCTTCAACAACTTCTGATTGGCCCCGCCCGCCAGCCGCTCTTTTTGATTGGCGGCTCCCGTCCCCCAGGGGCGGGGCCGTAGCTTGCCGCAGCGGGAGCCGATTGGCCCCTACTGCCCTCGTGGGGGCGGGGCTGTCCCTGCGGACCCGCCCCTCTTTCTCCCCAGGCCGAAGCCTCGGGACGGCCCTGGAAGCCGGTGAGTGCCCGCGGCCGGCAGCCCTCCGGGGGTGGCAGAATGGGACTGGGCCAGGGGAAGCTGGAGCCTGGGGGCTGCGATCGGGGCCCGGGAGCCCGGGCAGGCGGCCGGGGACGGCGGGGAGGTGACGCGGGCACTCACCTTGGACGCACAGCGGGACGGCGGTGAGGGAGGTGGGGGGGGCGGGACGTCTACACTCCCCCAACTCCAGTTGCAGCCGTGTGCGAGGCCGGGTCGGGGTCCTAGCTGGCAGCCCCGGGCCTGTTCCGCAGAAGGGGAAACTGAGGCTGTCTTTGGAACCTCGGCCGCTTTAATACCTGAGTCATCGCCTCCAGTCCCCCGCCCCCAGCATGACATGTCTCTGTTCTCAAGTGTCAGAATCGGGGGCCAGAAAGAGGGGTCGTGACTGGAAGAGGCAGAGGGGTGGCGAAGGACATATTTGAGAACCCTCGATTTACTTGGACGCTTTTATTTTTTATTACTAAATAATTTCCTTTCTTTATCATATTGACTCGAGGTGAGGTATATTGTACCCATTATACAGAGAGGGGGAGGCTGAGACTGGACAGAATTGGTGACTGCAGGGGGACCTGTGGAGACGAACATTCCGGAGACCAACTGCGTGCTGGGTCCTTTAACCTTTTCAATCCCACAGGAGTCCCCCTAAGGAAAGCGGCGGTCCCTGTGGCATAGATGGGGAAGCAGGCTGGTAGTATCAACAACTGGGACGTAGAAATTGATGTCTTTAGGGACCTGCTACAAGTTCTTCCCAGACCCCCTCCTTTAGAATGGCAGAAAACAGTCTGGGCTTGAATCCCAGACCTCCCTCTTATACTGTGTGGCCTTGAGTGCCTTACTTTGACCCTTCCTGCCTCAGTTTCCACATCAGAGAAATAGACATGCTGATCGCCCCTATGCCATCGGTTGTTGAGATTATTCTAGGCCGGGGGCAGTGGCTCAGGCCGGTAATCCCAGCACTTTGGGAGGTGGAGGTGAAAGAATCGCTTGAGCCCAGGAGTTGGAGACCAGCTTGGGCAACACAGCGAGACTTCATCTCTACAAAAAGTAAAAGAGTTAGCCGGGGGTGGTGGCACACTCCTGTTGTCCCAGCTACTCGGGAGGCTGAGTGGGGAGGATCTCTGGAGCCCAGAAAGTCAAGGCTGCAGTGAGCCATGATCATGTCACTGCACTCCAAGCTGGGCAACAGAGACAGTCTCTCTCTCTCTCTCTCTCTCTCTATCTCTCTCTCAAATCATGTTATGATCTCAAAGAGCTGTTCTAAGAGGAGAAAATACCCGACACATAGTAGGTACTCTTATCACCATGTAGTCTTTATTTCACTCCCGAGACTGAAGCTCAGGACAGAATACCATTGCTCTCTTCTTTGGTTCTCTTACCGTCTACGGATTTGTTGTTCCGTTCCCGCAGGTGGGAAACTGAGGCTCAGGGAGATTAATGATGAAGCACTGGGCTGGGGAACTTTCTGAAAGTCGTTTTATTAATTTCACTGGCCACAGTTCACAGCAGGGAAAGTTGAGGCCCATGAAGCTCCAGCGGGGTTTGAATCCCGGGAATCCTCAGCCTTCTCCGCTGCGGGCCCTCGACCTTTGCCCGCCATAAGGGGGAGGAGCCCCTGGCGCCGCTGCTGCCGCCGCCGCCCACCTGGCAACAGGCTCAACCCCCGCCTTCCCCCGGCCCCCGTCAGAGGCCCTGAAGCTCCAGGCCCGCCCCGTCCCCAGCCGGGCAGGTGCTGGGTGACATCAGAGCTGGGCTCCCGCCCCGTGACGCGACGGGCCCCGCCCTGCGCTGGACCGCGGAGGTCGCCGCACCTGAAGAGGACCGGGATTCCCGTGCCCTCTCCCCATCTCCCCGCTCCGGTCGGCGCCCCCAGGTAGCCCCGAGGATCTGCGAGTTGAGGGGGCGGCGACACAGGCGCTTGGGTCCGGGGGAACGGGTATTGGGCCCTCGGACTCCTGGATCCGAGGAGGGGCCTTGGGGGCCGGTTGTCCCGGGTCTGAAGAAGGACTGCGCTGCGAGCCCGAACTCGTGGGTCTTGGAGGAGGAAAGGACTCGGGTCAGGACTGCAGTTCTGGGGTCTTAGGGGAGGAGGCGGCTGCAAGCCCGGATTCCTGGGTCTGTAGGAGCAGGGGCTGGGGGCCTGAACTCCTGGGTCTGAGACAGGAGGGCATTGAGTACTGGGACTCCGGAATCCCAGCGCCAGAAGCCAGGGTCAGAGGGCTGGATGCCAAGGGCCCCAACCTCTGCCCCAGGGCGGATCCCTGGCTGCTTTTCTTTTTCAAGCCCAGCAGTCTTGGCCCCTCCCAGGGCAGGTGCTTTCACCTGCCCAGGTGACAGTAATTAGCCCTGGCAGAGTGTTCCTGCTGGGTGAGGAAGGGTAGAGCAGCCAGAGAGGCTGGGCCACTTGGAGCCAAGGCCTGCAGGCCCTGCCCGCCCCATCAGGGCTGTGATCCGTTTCCAGAACTCAGCATCCTCACCTCTAGTCCGGCTGCAGTGAGGTGAGGGGGCCTGCACTTCCCCATCCATAGGAGGAGGGGGCTGGGGGCTCAGACTCCTGGGTCCTGGGAGAGGAGGAGGCTGGGAGGCTGGACTCCTCAGTCCCCAGAAGGAAAAGGCTGGGGGCTTGGACTCTTGGCTCCAGGGACGAGAGGCATAGGGCATAGGGTGATTGCAAAAACTCCCAAACCCTTCCTGGTCAAAGGCCACAGGGCTGGAGAGGAAGTGGATGGGGTGGGTGGGGGTGAGGGTAAAGTGCCCGGGATGGAGTTTGGGTCCAGTGTATCCAGGTCACACTGGAGGCCTGGGGTGAGCCTTGACGATTCGGGGGTCACGGGGTGGAGAAACTCCCTGCTACATTCAGAGTGCAGGGGTCCAGCGTTTGAGGCCTGAGCGCCTCAAGGCCAAGAGTCACTGGAAGCTGGAGCTGCTGGGCTCAGGGATAAGAGGAGAGGGTCTGGGAGGAAATGGGTCCTCTGAGCGGAGCTGAGATTCCCGTGGGAGAGGCTTGAGGGAAAGGCAGGAGTCTGCTGGGACCAGATCCAGGGATGCCTCCAGGGCAGCTGGGCGTTTAGAAGGACTTTTCCAGGGGTATGTGGGAGCGAGGTGGGGACAGCAGGTGAATATAGGTCTGCTGGGCAGAGGTGAAGTCCTGCTGTTGGGGAGACAGAAATCTTCCACTGTTTCTGTGATTGATGTGCTGGGGCAGTGATGGGGACATTTGAGGCAGTGGATGAGAGTAGGGGCCAGGCGTGGTGGCTCATGCCTGTAATCCCAACACTGTGGAGGCCAAGGCAGGAGGATCACTTGAGCCCAGGAATTCGAGATCAGCCTGGGTAACATAGTGACACCCTGTCTCTACCAGAAAAAAAAAAAAAAAATGCTTGGCCTGGTTTTGCGCGCGTGTGGTCCCAGCTACTCAAGAGGCTGAAGTGGGAGGATCACTTGAGCACAGGAGTTGAGGCTGCAGTGAGCTGTGATTGTGCCACTGCACTCCAACTCCGGCCTGGGCGATAGAGTGAGACCTATCTCTAAGAAAAAAAAAAAAAAAGAGAGAGAGAGAGAGAGAGAAAAGGGGCAGACTTCTTTAACAGGAGAGGGAGAATATTTTTCCTGCCTAGTGCTTGGAACACCTTGGAATTGCCACTACTGTCCATGACCCCCTGGATGGCGGGAGGGACCCAGCACTTTCTAGTTCCCCCAGCACCTGGTTGCCTCCATGATAGCTGGAGCTGGATCTACCCCTAAGCCAGGAGCTCCTCCAGGCAGGGCTCCCAGCCGACTCTTCTCTGGGTCCTCAGGCCCACTCAGGGCAGAGTCTCGTGCTTGAAAGTCCTCAGAGAGTTGAATGAATGGGGCCAGTTTCCCCATTTTACGGAGAAGGAGCCAGGTTCCACAGAAGGAAGGAATTGTTCACTGAAGCAGTGAGATTCGAGTCTATTCGGCAGGCATGAGGTAGGCGTGACCAGAGGTGATCAGGGAATCTGAATGACAAAAAATCAGGTCAATTCCCTCCCTGGGCTCACATCTTAGAGTAAAAGCAAGGTTGTACCTTTTGTCCTCTCTTTTATATTCCCTCCCACCCTCTGCCCCTCGATCATTTGGCTCTAGCCACGCTGCCCACCTCCCAGGGCCCTAGCCACACAGGTGCATTGCAGCCCCAGGGCCTTTGCACTGCTGGCCCCAGGACCTTTCCACTGCTGTCTGGAATGACTTTTTTTTTTTCTCCCAACAACCCCTTGGCTCACTCCTGTCATCTCCCTTAGGTCTTAATTTAAATGTCATGCCAGACAGGCCCTCCCTGGCCACCCTAATGAAAACTTAACATTCTCAACCCTAACATCCCCTGTTCCCTGGTTTATTCCTCCCCTTGGCATTTATTTACCTGGCATTTATTTACCATTTAACATACTATATGACTGGGCACGGTGGCTCATGCCTGTAATCCCAGCAATTTGGGAGACCCAGGCGGGCGGATCACCTGAGGTTGGGAGTTCAAGACCAGCCTGGCCAACGTGGTGAAGCCCTATCTCTACTAAAAATACAAAAAAAAAATTAGCCAGGCATAGTGGCATGCACCTGTAATCCCAGCTACTTGGGAGGTTGAGGCAGGAGAATCGCTTGAACCCGGGAGGCGGAGGTTGCACTGAGCCAAGATCAAGCCACTGCACTCTAGCCTGGGCAATAGAGCGAGACTCTATCTCAAAAAAACGAAAACAAACAAACAAAGAATCCCCAAAAAACCAGCAAACATACTATATTTGGTTTTTGTAAAAAAACAAAAAAGAGAGAATTTTTAAAAAACAAAAACCATACTATCTAACTTACATTTTTAATCTTTTTATCTGTCTCCTGGGATTAGAGCAGCTGTGTCCAATAGCCATATAATACAGGCCAGACGTGTAATGTAACATTTTCTAGTAGCCACATTTAATGATAAAAGTAAAAAAGGAACGGGTAACATTAATTTAATGATATATTTTATTTAACCCAGTAGATTGCAAATATTATTTCAACATGTCATTAAATATTTAAAATCTCAGTGAACTTTTTGTTGTACTAAGTCTTGAAAATCTGCTGTGTATCTTACACTTAGAACACCAGATGGGGCTATTTATATTTAAATTTTAAGATGGGGCTCGGTGGCTCACACCTGTAATCCCAGTACTTTGGGGAGCCAAGGCAGGAGGATCACTTGAGCCCAGGAGTTTGAGACCATTCTGGGCAACATAGAAGACCCTGTCTCTACAAAATAAATTAAAAACTTAGTAGGCATGGTGGCATGCCTGTTAATACATTTATTTATTTATTTATTTATTTATTTATTTATTTTTATTTTGAGACAGAGTCTCGCTCTGTCACCCAGGCTGGAGTGCAGTGGCGCCATCTCGGCTCACTGCAAGCTCCGCCTCCCGGGTTCACACCATTCTCCTGCCTCAGCCTCCTGAGTAGCTGGGACTACAGGCGCCCGCCACCATGCCCGACTAATTTTTTGTGTTTTTAGTAGAGACGGGGTTTCACCGTGTTAGCCAGGATGGTTTCGATCTCCTGACCTCGTGATCTGCCCGCCTTGGCCTCCCAAAATGCTGGGATTACAGGCATGAGCCACTGCACCCGGTCATATTTGTTTTTTAATTAATAAATTTCAGACATGAATCACCTGAGGCCGGGAAGTTGAGGATGTGGCAAGCCATGATTGCACCACTGCACTCCAGCCTGAGCAACAGAGCGAGACTCCATCTCAAAATAAAATGATATAGATTTAATTTAAATGAATGAAATTGAAAATGTGTTTCCTCAGTGACACAGGCCACATTTCTAGTGCCCAGTAGGCACAGGTGGTGGTGGCTCCCGCACTGGACAGCCCAGGGCTAGAAAGTAAAGTTTTGGAGGCAGCCGTCTTCTTCCAGCTTGTCCAGTGCTCCATTGTCAATGCCCAGAACTGAGCCTGGCCAGGCGTGGTGGCTCACGCCTATAATCCCAGCACTTTGGGAGAGTGAAGAGGGTAGATCGCTTGAGGTCAGGAGTTCAAGACCTGCCTGGACAACATAAAGAGACCCTCATTTCTACAAAAATTGAAAATAATTAGCTGGGGCCGGGAATGGTGGCTCATGCCTATAATCCCAGCACTTTGGGAGGCTGAGGCGGGCAGATCACCTGAGGTCAGGAGTTCGAGACCAGCCTGGCCAACATGGTGAAACCCCGTCTCTACTAAAAATACAAACATTGGCTGGGCGTGGTGGCAGGCGCCTGTAATCCCAGCTACTTAGGAGGCTGAGGCAGGAGAATCACTTGAACCCTGGATGCCGAGGTTGCAGTGAGCTGAGATCACGCCTCTGCACTCCAGCCTGGGCAATAAGCAAGACTCTGCCTCAAAATAAAGAGAACTGACCCTCTGAGCCTGGTTCACAGCCCAGCTTATTAAAGAATGAATGAGTGGGTAGAGAGGTGAATGAATGAAATGAGTAAGCCAGGTCTGTTAACCCAGAAGGGTGGCAAGAGATCTGATAAAGGAAGGCAGAGGGGCTGCCTGGGGAATTTGGGGTAGGGAAGGGAGGCACTGGGGATGGAGCCTCATCTGACCTCCACCCTCTTTCTCTGCCCCCTGCAGACCATGGCAGCCGTGACCATGTCGGTGCCTGGGCGGAAGGCGCCCCCCAGGCCGGGCCCAGTGCCCGAGGCTGCCCAGCCTTTCCTGTTCACGCCCCGCGGGCCCAGCGCAGGTGGCGGGCCTGGCTCGGGCACCTCCCCGCAGGTGGAGTGGACTGCCCGGCGTCTCGTGTGGGTGCCTTCGGAGCTTCACGGGTTCGAAGCCGCGGCGCTGCGGGACGAAGGTGAGGAGGAGGCGGAGGTGGAGCTGGCGGAGAGCGGGAGGCGGCTGCGGCTGCCGCGGGACCAGATTCAGCGCATGAACCCGCCCAAGTTCAGCAAGGCCGAGGACATGGCCGAGCTGACCTGCCTCAACGAGGCCTCGGTCCTGCACAACCTCCGGGAGCGGTACTACTCGGGCCTCATCTACGTGAGTGGCCTCCTGCTGGGGGGCGGGGGACGGGGGGGGCGGGGTTGCTGCCGGGTGGGGAGCCGGGTCCACACCCCAACCTGCATTAACTCGAGACTGTGTATCATCTGTATCCCATGTCCCGTGACTATTCCTACACTTACTTGGTTGCCAAATTATGAATTAATTGTTGGATTCCTAGGACAGCCTCGGAACCTACTGGGGACATCGCATGATATATATGGTAGATAAACTGTATTATTTTCCTAAAGTATAAAACGTTCCAATTTCTCGGATATAACTCATCCCGAGTTTTAAGGAACAGAAACAGATCTGTGACAATCATTAATGTGAATCACTGAGTATAGAAATATGTTGCCTGAGGTTCAAGACCAGCCTGGGCAACAAAATGAAACCCTGTCTCTTAAAAAAAGATAAATTAGCCAGGTGTGGTGGTGGCCCATGCCTTTAGTCCCAGTTTCCAGGGAGGCTGAGGCAGGAGGATCACTTGAGCCCCGGAGGCCAAGGCTGCAGTGAGCTATGATGGTACCACTGCACTCCAGCCTGGGTGACAGCATAAGACCCCATCTCAAAAACAGACACAAAGCAAAAAAGTATATGCTAGGCTCTGTGCTAAATGCCTATCTTTTAATTCATTCAATCTCACCATAGGAAAGATAGAGTCTATTATTATTCCCATTTTACATAAGAGGCAAATCAGGCCCAGAGAGAGTTAATAACAATAAAAATGAACATTTATTAAACATTTACGAAGTCTTCTTCCAAGCTTTCTAAAATACATTGCCTCTGTACATTTTTGGAATTAGAAAGCATCTGATCCTCATTTTACAGGTAAGAAAACTGAGGCACAGAGAGGCCAAGGTCACACAATTAGACCTGGCAGATTCAGGTGGTCCCAGGCATTCTCACTTTGCTGTGGTGCCTCTTAAGATTGAGATGGGGCTGGGAATGGTGGTTCATACCTGTAATCCCAGCACTTTGAGAGGCTGAGGTGGGTGGGTTGCTTGAGCCCAGGAGTTCCAGACCATCCTGGGCATGGCCATCCCTGCAAAAAAAAAAAAAAAAAAAAAAAAAAAAAAATTAGCTGGGCATGGTGGCACACTCTTGTAGTCCCAGCTACTTGGGAGGCTGAGGTGGGAGAATCACCTGAGCCCTGCAGGTCGAGGCTGCAGTAAGCTGTGATAGTGCCACTGTACTCCAGCCTGGGTAACAGATCAAGACCCTATCTCAAACAAAACAAAACAGTATAAAAACCCATTGAGAAGGGATTGATGATAGCTAGGTTGACTATGGTAGTCTTCCCACATCTGTGCTAAGTGTTGGATGTTCATTGCATTTTTAAAACTCTTTAGAGCAAACAGATGGGGTAGGGCAGTGGTTCTTAACCCCACCTGCATGGTAGAGTCATTTGGGGAATTCTTAGAAAATACCAGTGCCTAAGCCCCACCCCAGAACTTTAAGTCAAGCTCTCTGGGGCTGTGACATGAGCAATGGTTTTCTTTTTTTTTTTTTTTTTTTTTTTTTTTTGTTTTGAGATGGAGTCTCGCTCTGTCGCCCAGGCTGGAGTGCAGTGGCCGGATCTCAGCTTGCTGCAAGCTCCGCCTCCCGGGTTTACGCCATTCTCCTGCCTCAGCCTCCCGAGTAGCTGGGACTACAGGCGCCCACCACCTCGCCCGGCTAGTTTTTTTTGTATTTTTTTAGTAGAGACAGGGTTTCACCGTGTTAGCCAGGATGGTCTCGATCTCCTGACCTCGTGATCCCCCCGTCTCGGCCTCCCAAAGTGCTGGGATTACAGGCTTGAGCCACTGTGCCCGGCCAGCAATGGTATTTTTAATAAGCTTCCAAGGAGGTTCTAATGGGCAGCCAAGGGGTTATTAATTTCATTTAACAAAAGAGCAAACAGGATTAGAAAGATTGACAAGGAATGTGGACAATCATAATGAAAAATAATAATAAGAGGAGGCTAGCAAATATTTAATCGAGCACTCGTGATGTGCCAAGCACTGTTCTAAGTGCGGCGTTTGAGTTATCAGCTTCTCTCTGGGCCAGGGACTGCTGATATCACCTGATGTTCAGGAATGTTAAGTGACCCATAGCCATGAAGGAATCATGCCAGGATTTGAACCCAGGCAGCTGTTTCCGGAGTCATGCTCCAAACCCCAGTTTAGACTGGTGGGGTCTCACAACTTTGCTCCAACATCCACTGCTTTGAGGGTCACAAAGCAGAAGATGAGAATATTTTTATGAAACCTCACTCCTACTTGGAGATCGAGGCTCTGAGATAAGCAGTGGCTGGCTCAGGGTCCCTCAGCTTGTGGTGGCAGGTGTGGAATTTGAATCGAGGGCTGTCAGACCCTGCATGGGGTTGGTGTCTTCTCCAGTCTGCACTGGCCCTTTCCAAATCCTCAAACACCTTTACTAGTCCTGGAAAAGAGGCCTCTGCCTGATCCACGCCCCCCACATCTCACCCGAGGCCACAGAGATCAGGATGACATCCAAAACATGGATCCACTGGTTGTCTTTTATTCGTTTATATATATATATATATATATATATTTTTTTTTTTTTTTGAGACAGGGTCTCACTCTGTTGCCCAGGCTGCAGTGCAGCAACATGATCTTGGCTTACTGCAGCCTTCACCTCCTGGGTTCAAGCAACTCTCCTGCCTCAACTTCCTGAGTAGCTGGGACTACAGGCGTCCACCACCATGCCCAGCTAGTTTTTGTATTTTTAATAGAGATGGGGTTTCACCATGTTCGCCAGGCTGGTCTCGAACCCCTGAGCTCAAGTGATCTGCCCAACTCGGCCTCTCAAACTGCTGGGATTACAGGGGTGAGCCACCGCACCTGGCCACTCTTTGCCTGAGTGCTCCCGGCAACCTTGTAAGGTATCTGCTATCATCCCCACTCTGCAGGTGGAGAAACTGAGCCTCAGATTGCGGGGTAGGATTTGAACATAAGCCCCATAACTAGGAACCAGCTAAGCTAGAATTTGAACCCAGATCATTGTGACTGCAGACCCCAGGTCGTAGCCATTGCACTAGGAAGATTATTCAGAAAGTTCAGTAGAAAAAGTGGTAGGGCCTGAGCTAAGGTGGTAGCCAGGGAGCCAGACTTTTGGGGCCTAAGAAATGAATGTAAGAGAGAAGATTCTAGAATTCCAGATGGGAAGCAAATTGGGCCTTAATAAAGATTATTAGCCCTTAGTGAGTACCTGCTTTCTCTGCTGGCTGCTGTTCTAAGTTTTTTTCCAATGTGATCTTGTTGACCCCCTCCCCATCCATGTCAGGTTGTGAGGTAGGGATTATCACCCTCTTTTTCCCACAGCTTGGAGAGGGGAAGCCATTGGCCCAACAGAAGCTGATAGTGGCTAAAATATTGAGCATGCAGTGTTTCAAGGTCCATGTTCTTTTTTTTGTTTTATTTGTTTGTTTGTTTGTTTGTTTGTTTTAGACATAGCCTTGCTCTGTCACACAGGCTGGAGTGCAGTGGCATGCTTACAGCTCACTGCAGCTCAACCTCCTGGGCTCAAGTGATCCTCCTGCCTCAGCCTCCTAAGTAGCTGGGACTACAGGCACATATCACCACGCCTGGCTGATTTTTAAATTTATTGTAGAGACAGTGTTTCATAATGTTACCTAGGCTAGTCTCAAACTCCTGTACTCAAGTGATCCTCTTGCCTGGGCCTCTCAAAGTGCTGGATTTACAGGCTTGAGCTGCTGCTGCGCCCAGCTGGGGTTCACATTAAACCCTCTGTATGCCACATGAACTTGTGGATGACTCCCAGGCACCTTATGCAGGAAGCACTATTTCTGTCCCCATTTGCTAAAGACACTGAGACCCTGAGAGGTTCGAGCCACCTGGCCCGAAAATGTTAGAGGTGTGATTCAAACTCTGCCCTGTTTAAGACCTGCACTTAATACATGTTTGTTGACTGACCAACCAATGGTGGGGAAGGTGGTATTGCCCAGCGAAAAGTGGGACGTCCAGGGCTCCAGAAACCCAGCTTCTGCCACTAGTAGGCTTTTTGGCTTGGAGTTGCTAAGAGTCTCAGTCCCTTTCCTGGGACCCTTGGGGCAGGCAGAGAACCCCGTTGTAGAACACCCTGCTCTGAGAAACATGGAAGATGCATTACGTGATTTCACTCTCAGAACACTTCTAGATGGTGGGTTAAAAGCCGCATTTTCCAGGGCTGGAAACTGAGGTTTAGAGAGGACACAGCCTTCATGCAAAGTCACACACAGCTCAAAAGTGCTGCATCTGAATTTGAACCCTAGATGGCTTCAACGTCTGAACAATGAGCCTGAGAGTTTGAGGCTGCAGTGAGCCCGGATCGCGCCACTGCACTCCAGCCTGGGCGACAGAGCCAGACTCTGTCCTGCCCGCCCCCGCCAAAAAAGTCTGAGTGAGCCCAGGGCTCCCAGGTACGATGGGTAACGTAAGAGTCTCAAGACCCATATCTGGTGTGGGATGCATGGGCGCCGCCTCGGCCTGGCTGGTTTTTATCCATGATCTCCCCTAATCCCTACAGCCTTTGTAATGGGGTAGGGAGTGTCGCCCTCGGTTTCCTAAGGAGGAAACTGAGACTATGGGGAAAGTCACCGGGCTGAGGGGGGGCGGGGGCAGGTCTGTCTTCAGAGCCCCGAGGGCTGGAGCAGCCATTCCTGACCCTTCCAGGCAGACTTCCCCAGCTGTCTCCCACCCTGTGGGGGTGCACCAGCCTCTGTTCTTTCCCCCCCAGCCTTGTTGACCAGCTCAGGTTTCTGTTCCTAGGGTGTCGCCCTGGAAACAAGGTGTGGCTGGCAGGAGGGGCTGGGGTGGGAGGGTGGTGTGGGGAGTGGGTTCCTCCGCCAGCCAGGAGTGGGGGCCAGGGCGCCGGCAGCCATGAGATACCCTCCCAGGGAATGTGGTCCGGCTGCCCTACCCACTGAGAGCTGGGGAGCTCCCAGAGCAGCCCTTTCAGGCGGGGAGGGCAGACACCCAGCAAACCGGTTGTTCCGCTCCTGGCCGGCCACCCAGGCCACCCACCCTCCCACCATTAGAAGGTTGGCACCTGGGACCAGGCAGCCTATGGTGGCCACACCCTACTCTGCCTGAGAAGCCCAAGCTCCCTGGGAGCTTAAAACAGTCCTGCTGGCCGGACACAGTGGCTCACGCCTGTAACCCCAGGCATGCCGGGGTGGGAGGATCACTTGAGCCCAGGGGTTCAAGACCAGCCTGGGCAACATAGTGAGATCTGATCTCCACAAAAAGTAAAAATTTACAAAATTGGCCAGGCGTGGTGGTGCATACCTGTGCTCCCATCTGCTGAGGAGGCTGAGGCAGGAGGATTGTTTGAGCCCAAGAGGTAGAGGCTGCAGTGAGCTGTGTTCATGCCACTGCACTCCGGCCTGGGTGACAAAGTGAGATCCTGTTTCTAAAAAACAAAAGAAAAAGATAGTCCTGCTGCTAACCAGCTTAGAAACCAGCTAGCTGGGTAGCTAGCAGAGTAGGTTACCCTACTTTGTCACACACAGCTGGAAAACACATCTTAATTTGAATCCCAGATGGCTTCAAAGTCCAGAGTAGCTAACTAGCTAAGCCACTAAGCGATAATTCTCTGCCTAGTTTAGCTAGCTAACTTTAGAGAGCTTGGCTAGTCAGCTCTCTGGCTGGTTTAGCTAAGTGGCTAACTAGCTCTCTAGTTATATCTAACTGCTTCTGTGAGTGTTGAACCCCTGTTGCCTACATGATTACCCCTGTGAGCTGGACTTGTTCTTAAACTGTTACAGAGTCCTGAGGCTGGGTGTGGAGGCTCACGCCTCTAATTCCAGCACTTCGGGAGGCCGAGGTGGGCAGATCATTTGAGGTCAGGAGTTCGAGACCAGCCTGGGCAACATAGAGAGACCCCGTGTCTACAAAAAAAATACACCGGGTGCGGTGGCCCAAGCCTGTAATTCCAGTATGTGGGGAGGCTGCGGTGGCAGAATTAGTTGAGCCCAGGAGTTCAAGAGCAGCCTGGACAACGTAGTGAGACCCCATCTCTACTAAAAATACGAAAAATCAACCTAGTGGATCAACACACACTTGTGATCCCAGCTACTCTCGAGGCTGAGGTGGGAGGATTGCTTGAGTCTAGGAGGTGGAGGCTGCAGTGAGCCATGATTGTACCACTGCACTCCAGCCTGGGTAACAGAGTAAGACCCTGTCTCAAAGAGAAAAAAAAGAAAAAGACTAGGCACGGTCATTTCAGCAGAACTGTTATGTGTCTATTATCACTAGAAACTGCAGGTATGTTCCTGTTGCCTTTCGGTTATTGCAGATACCACAAGCACCCTTCCAGAGATATTCCATGCATATTCAAGTGAATATATAAAAAGATTCCTACCGGGCGCGGTGGCTCACGCCTGTAATCCCAACACTTTGCAAAGCCGAGGTGGACGGATCATGAGGTCAGGAGCTTGAGACCGTCCTGGCTAACACAATGAAACCCTGTCTCTACTAAAAAATACACAAAATTAGCCAGGTGTGGTGGTGGGCACCTGTAGTCCCAGCTACTTGGGAGGCTGAGGCAGGAGAATGTGTGAACCCAGGAGGCAGAGCTTGCAGTGAGCCGAGATCGCGCCACTGCACTCCAGCCTGGGCGACAGAGCGAGACTCCGTCTTAAAAAAAAAAAAAAAAAAAAAGATTCCTCTTCCAACCTTTCTAATGCAAATTGTCGCTCCTCACACAGTCCTCAACTCACCTCCTTTTACTCGATATTGATTTGAAGATAGTCCCATGTCTATACACAAGAGCTTTGTAGGAATCCGTCATATGAAGGTGCATTCAGGTCATTTCCAGTCTTTTGCTGCTACAAAGAGTGCCTCAACCAGGCACCTCGCACATGGTCATTTCCTGTGGGTGAGTCCAGGCAACCACAGGCTGTGACCCAAGTCTGGCTGGCTGCAAAGGCCTTGTTCTCTCAGGGTAAATCCTCACCCAGACAGTGCCTTTGTGCAATTTGGAAAGATTCTTTGCTACCATCAGCCTGAAAATGCTCATAAAAAACCTTCAAGTCTGTATTGTTATGGTGTAAACATACCATGTGCAGATGCCCTTGTGCAATGCACGACCTCCTCAGTGGCCCCATGACGCCTTTCAGGCTGTGGGCAGGGATCTGAGACCCTCTCTCCTCTCACCCACTGCAGACATACTCCGGCCTTTTCTGTGTGGTCATCAACCCGTACAAGCAGCTTCCCATCTACACAGAAGCCATTGTGGAGATGTACCGGGGCAAGAAGCGCCACGAGGTGCCGCCTCATGTGTACGCAGTGACCGAGGGGGCCTATCGGAGCATGCTGCAGGGTGAGTGCTGGGCGGGGCTGTGGGCCATTGAGGAGCTCTTCAACGGGGGCCTGACCTGGGGCTGCCGGAAGCCAGAGTCCAGGTCAAATGACAGCTTGGGGACTTGACTCTGCGGGGCTTCTTATGGGGCTGGAGGGAACACAAGTAGAGGCCTGAGTGGGTGAGGTGCCAGGTCCCAGAGTCTTTTTACCTATCTCTATGTTCACTGTCTCTTTATTATTATTTATTATTATTATTATTATTATTATTATTATTATTATTATTATTGAGACGGAGTCTCGCTCTGTCGCCCAGGCTGGAGTGCAGTGGCCGGATCTCAGCTCACTGCAAGCTCCGCCTCCCGGGTTTACACCATTCTCCTGCCTCAGCCTCCCGAGTAGCTGGGACTACAGGCACCCGCCACCTCGCCTGGCTAGTTTTTTTTTGTATTTTTTAGTAGAGACGGGGTTTCACAGGGTTAGCCAAGATGGTCTCGATCTCCTGACCTTGTGATCCACCCGTCTCGGCCTCCCAAAGTGCTGGGATTACAGGCTTGAGTCACCGCACCTGGCCTATTATTATTTTGAGACAGAGTCTTGCTTTGTCACCCAGGCTGGAGTGCAGTGGCACGATCTTGGCTCACTACAACCTCTGCCTCCTGGGCTCAAGCGATTCTCGTGCCTTAGCCTCCCAAGTAGCTGGGACTATAGGTGTGCACCACCACACCTGGCCTCTTTTCTTATTTTTAAATAAAGTAGTTAATTTTTGGCCAGGAGCAGTGGCTTACACCTGTAATCCCAGCACTTTGGGAGGCCGAGGCAGGCGGATCATGAGGTCAGGAGATCGAGACCATCCTGGCTAACAAGGTGAAGTCCTGTCTCTACTAAAAATACAAAAAAAAATTAGCCGGGCGTGGTGGCGGGTGCCTGTAGTCCCAGCTACTCGGGAGGCTGAGGCAGGAGAATGTCATGAACCCAGGAGGTGGAGCTTGCAGTGAGATGAGATCGCGCCCCTGCACTCCAGCCTGGATGACACAGTGAGACTCTGCCTCAAAAAGAAAAAATTATTTATTTTTTATTTCAATAGTTTTTGGGAAACAGGTGGTGTTTGGTTGCATGGAAAAGTTCTTTAGTGGCGATTTCTGAGATTTTGGTGTACTTGCCATCAGAGCAGTGTAGACTGCATCCAATGTGTAATCTTCTACCCCTCACCACCCCCCCACCACCCTTCGTCCTGAGTCCCCAAAGTCCATTGTGTCATTCTTATGTCTTTGCATTCTCAGAGCTTAGCTCCCACTTATAAGTGAGAACATACGATGTTTGATTCTCCATTTCCGAGTTACCTTACTTAGAATAATGGTCTCCAATTTCATCCAGGTTGCTGTGAATGCCATTATTTCATTCCTTTTTATGGCTGAGTAGTATTCCATGGTGTATGTATGTATATATAGCCCATGGTGTATATAACAAATATATATATACACACACCGTGGGATATATACTCTCCCTTTATATATACTATAGATACAGATATAGATATAGATACACACACATGATGGGATATATATGTGTGTGTGTGTATAGACACCATGGAATACTCATATATATATGTGTGTGTGTGTGTGTATGTATATATATATACATATACACACACACACATCTCACAATTTCTTTATCCACTCGTTGGTTGATGGACATTCAGGCTGATTCTATATTTTTGCAATTGTGAATTGTGCTGCTATAAACATGTGTGTGCAAGTGTCTTTTTCATATAATAGCTTCTTTTCCTCTGGGTAGATACCCAGGGTGGGGTTGCTGGATCAAATGATAGATCTACTTTTGGTTCTTTAAGTAATCTCCATACCGTTTTCCATCATTAAATCATCAAAAAATAACAGATGTTAGTGTGGATATGGTGAAACAGGAACATTTTTACACTGCTGGTGGAATGTAAACTAGTACAACCACTATTGAAAACGGTATGGAGATGCTTTAAAGATCTCTGTTCACTCTTTCTCTGAACAATATTGGTTGGGTGTGGGGCTTCTGTGAACATTTCCCTTGAGACAGTAATTCCCAGAGTGTTCATTCATTCATTCAACACTTATTGTTGAATTGTAGATCTGATCTCCATTGTCATGGGTAAATGTAGCCTCTTAGACAGATGGCAGCACAAGGCAGTTGTGTACAGCTGGGCAGGTTGTACACTGAACAAGGGTATCCATCCAAGGGGCCGCCATTCACACCATGACAAAATAGATCAGTCTTGGCAAAATTACGTGATTATCATCTATTATATATATAATGTCCTTATTATATATTTGATATATTTCATCTATTTTAATAAATATTTAGTATTTATTTGTTTATATCTATTAAATATTTAAAAATTATATGTATTTATATCATATAACATATAATAGGCCGGCGCGGTGGCTCACATCTGTAATCCCAGCACTTTGGGAGGCCGAGGTGGGTGGATCACGAGGTCAGGAGATCGAGACCATCCTGGCTAACCTGGCGAAACCCCATCTCTACTAAAAATACAAAAACAATTAGCCAGGCGAAGTGGTGGGCGCCTGTAGTCCCAGCTACTCGGGAGGCTGAGGCAGGAGAGTGGCATGAACCCGGGAGGCGGAGCTTGCAGTGAGCGGAGATGGCACCACTGCATTCCAGCCTGGGCTGCAGAACGAGACTCCGTTTCAAAAAAAAAAAAAAGTTTTTGTTAAAAAAGGAAAAACCCCGTGTAATAGTACACAACATTCAGACCCTTCAGTCATGGCTTCAAACCCGTCTGTGCCACTCACCATTTCTGTCCCGCACCCCAGCCTCACTCACCTTCCTGTCCAACATCCCTAATCCAGTCCTACCTCAGGGCCTGAATATGAATATATTATACTTATTGAATATGCATATTAAACACAAATTATTAAATGTATATAATTAAATAGTGTAATATTGTGAAAATATTATGCTTATTTAGTATGCATATTCAATAAGTGTATTATTTTATTATACTTTATTTTGTTTTATTATACTTCATTTTTATTTCATTATACTTTATATTTATTTATTTATTTATTTATTTATTTATTTTTTTTTTTTGAGACGGAGTCTGGCTCTGTCGCCCAGGCTGGAGTGCAGTGACCGGATCTCAGCTCACTGCAAGCTCCGCCTCCCGGGTTCCCGCCATTCTCCTGCCTCAGCCTCCCGAGTAGCTGGGACTACAGGCGCCGCCACCGCGCCCGGCTAGTTTTTTGCAATTTTTAGTAGAGACGGGGTTTCACCATGTTAGCCAGGATGGTCTCGATCTCCTGACCCCGTGATCCACCCGTTTCTGCCTCCCAAAGTGCTAGGATTACAGGCTTGAGCCACCGCGCCCGGCCTATACTTTATATTTATTATTATATACGTGTAATGTTGATATAATACATTATACCTATTTAATATGCATATTCAATAAGTATAATAAATTAATGTGTTAAATAGTATAACATATTAAATTAAATGGTATATTAAATAGCATAATATTGTAAACATATTATGCTGTTATTTATTTATTTTTTTTCATAGTCTCATTCTGTCACCCAGGCTGGAGTGCAGTGGCATGACCTTAGCTCACTGCAACCTTCCCGGGTTCAAGCCATTCTCCTGCCTCAGCCTCCCGAGTGGCTAGGACTACAGGCACATGCCACCACACCCAGCTAATTTTTGTAGTTTTAGTAGAGACAGGGTTTCACCATGTTGGCCGGGCTGGTCTTGAACTCCTGACCTCAGGTGATCCACCTACCTCAGCCTCCCAAAGTGCTGGGATTACAGGCATAAGCCACCGCGCCCAGCCTAACATGCTTATTTAATATGCATATTAAATGGGAGTATGAAATGGAAATATTGAAGTCTCCAGGTAGAATAGTGAATTCATCTATTTCTCCTGGCAGGTCTATCAGTTTCTGCCGGATTAATTCATTTAACCTCATAGCAAATCTATGAAATAGGTTATCTCCTTGTCCCTGATTTCTGGGTGGGGAAACTGAGGCACAGAGCAAAGCAGTCGCTGCCCATGGTCACACTGGTGGGTGTATGCTGAGGTGGGATTCGAACCCAGGGCCCCCGACCACCGCCTCCCTGTATGCCACACTGTGTGTTATATTTCCTCCTGTGCTGTGCACCGTGCTGGGTGCGTTTTGAACATTCTGAGCTCTGACTACAGCCCTGTGAGATGGCAGCTGTTTTGAGCCCCATTTTTCAGATGGGAAAACAGGCACAAAGCAACTCAGAGACTGGCCCAAGGTCACGCAGCAAGTCAGAGAGACAGCTGGGCGGTGAATCCGTGTGCATATGGTCCCCCACACCAGGCTGCCAAATCTGAGGTCCTACTGGATGTCTGTCCTGCTTTAAAAAACCCAGAGGATGTCTGTCCTGCTTTAAAAAACATTCAGACTCTTATTTTATTTATTTATTTAGAGATGGAGTCTCACTCTTGTCGCCCAGCTGGAGTGCAATGGCACGATCTTGGTTCACTGCAACCTCCGCCTCCCAGATTCAAGCGATTCTTCTGCCTCAGCCTTCCGAGTAGCTGGGATTACAGGCGGCTCCACCATGCCTGGCTAATTTTTGTATTTTTAGTAGAGACGGGGTTTCACCATGTTGGCCAGGCTGGTCTTGAACTCCTGACCTCAGGTGATCTGCTGGCCTTGGCCTCCCAAAGTGCTGCGATTACGGGCGTGAGCCACTGCATCCAGCCTAATCACGGCTTTAAAACCCATCACACCACTTGCCATCTCTGCTCCATCCCACAACCTCACTGGCTTTTCTGTCTCTCAAACATCCCTGACTCAGAGCCTTTCCCCTGGCTGTGCCCTCTACCTGAAATGCCACCTCCTCTGAGAAGCCTTCCCTGCTCCTTCCCCCAAGTCGATTCTTATTACCTAACACCAGGGTTTTGGAATCCTGGGTCTATGGACATTTGGGGCTGGATGATTCTTCGTCGTAGGAGGCTGTCCTGGGCATTGTAGGTGTTTAGCAGCACCCCTGGCCTCTACCCACTCAGTGTCCATGGAACTCCCCTCTCTCAGGTAATAAGCAAAGACGCCTCCCAGACATTGCCAGGTGTCTTCTGGCGGGAATAGAGGACATAATTGCCCCCGTTTAAGAACCACTGCTTTGGCCGGGCGCGGTGGCTCAAGCCTGTAATCCCAGCACTTTGGAAGGCCGAGACGGGTGGATCACGAGGTCAGGAGATCGAGACTATCCTGGCTAACATGGTGAAACCCCATCTCTACTAAAAAATACAAAAAACTAGCCGGGGGAGGTGGCGGGCGTCTGTGGTCCCAGCTACTCAGGAGGCTGAGGCAGGAGAATGGCATAAACCCAGGAGGCGGAGCTTGCAGTGAGCTGAGATCCGGCCACTGCACTCCAGCCTGGGCGACAGAGCGAGACTCCGTCTCAAAAAAAAAAAAAAAAAAAAAGAGAACCACTGCTTTATTCTATTCCTGATTTAGTTTTCTTCCCAGTGCTAATCGCTATTTGATTGTAGGTTTTTGTCCCCTGCATCTTAAGTGAAAGCTCTGTAGGGTCACACACCCTGCCAGTTCCCCACTCCCCTCCATGCCTGGCGCTCAGTAGGTGGTCAGCATGCGGTTGTGGAATGGCTGTGTGAGGCCCAGGGCAGGCGCTGGGGTAGACACCTTATATCACAGGACCTCGCTCCTGTCTTTGAATCTTACACGCCCAGCATGAGGCGGCACACAGTAGGGTCTCATGTTGAGGTTGCTGAGTGAATCCTATTCTTTTCAGTTGAGGGAGGCTGTCTCCATTGTACAGGTGGGGAAACCAAAGGTCAGAGAGGGGCGCCTGCTTTCCCAGGGTCACACAGCAAGCAAGGGGCTGAGCTGGATGGGGAATTAGAATCCAGGAGTGTTACACATCAAGACCCAAGCTTTTCCTCACTCCTTGGGAATAATTTTAAAAAGGCAGCAGTGAGTGTAAGGGACCAGAGGGCCCTGCTAGAGACTCTCTCAAATGACATATCCCCCCACTCTGTCCCCTACAGATCGTGAGGACCAGTCCATTCTCTGCACGTGAGTAATCTGGAAGGACTTCCTGGAGGAGGAGGGAGGAGTCCGGGTGGGGCGTGGCTGTGTTTGGAATGGGCAGGGCAGGTGGGGAGCTTGCCCGAGGTCACTGCCAACCCCTTTGCTTCCCCTTGTCATCCTCACAGTGGAGAGTCTGGAGCTGGGAAGACGGAAAACACCAAGAAGGTCATCCAGTACCTCGCCCATGTGGCATCGTCGCCAAAGGGCAGGAAGGAGCCGGGTGTCCCCGTAAGCACCCCAGCCTTGGGACACCTCCTGGGCCCTGCCACAGCATCACCCCTTCCATCTTGGGCTTTCCTCACGATTGCCTCTTCCCCTCATGGAGGACCTTCTCCTGGATGCCTGTGCCACCTGAGCACCTACTGTGTGCCTGGGGTGGGGCTGGAAGCAGAGTCAGGGGGACACAGAGGTGTGAGGGTCAGTCTTGGTCTCATTGGCTCTCGGAATGGCTCCTAGTGCTTAGTAGGTGCTTTATTTTCTGAGCACCTACTGTGTCAAGCCTGATTTTAGGTGATCATGATGGCCGGGTTTGTCGTCTAAGTGAATGTTACAAGGTGCCCCCCACTGTTCCAAGCCCTGTTCTCCCACTGCCTTACTTACCCCTTGGGTGGGGTGGGTGCTGTTTTTCTGCGCTGAAGATGAAGAACCCAGGCATGGGAGGGGTGAGTCAGTTGTTGGTCACGCACCCAGGAAGAGGTAGAGTGGGGGCCGGGCACGGTGGCTCACGCCTGTAATCCCAGCACTTTGGGAGGCCGAGGCAGGAGGATCACTTGAGCCCTGGAATTCGAGACCAGCCTGGGTAATACAGTGAGACCCCATCTCTACAAAAATTTTTTTAAATAAAGGAGGTAGAGTGGGATTCAAACCCAGGCGTGTGGTCCCCCAGGCCACCCTACTCCACACGCCCGGTTTCCCCAGTTCCCCTTCCCCCACCCCCCACGCCACCACCCGAGATCACCGGTTCACCTGTGTGTCTGTCCACGTTCCATGTGCTGTGTCCTGGTCCGTGTCTCGTGTCCCGTGACTTCCTCAGGCCTCCGTCAGCACCGTGTCTTATGTGAGTAGCAGGGGATCACCTCCAGTCTTGCTGCCCCTAATGCCTTCCCAGCCACCCAGTGCATGATCTTCTTGGTAGACAGGGCCCAAGGCAGCAGTGGTCCCACCTGCCAGGGATCCCCCTGTCCCCCCCATTGCTGTTCATGGAGGCCCTGCTGTGTGTGTGCAGACGGGCTACAGACACCAACATGAAACAATCCAGAGAACGAAACTACCACTTATTACTGATCTACTAAACATGTCCAGCCGGGTCCCACAGACGCTGCGTGCACACAACCAGAGAGTGGACAGTGTAGCAAGGGAAATACACGCATGCCCCGTGTTCTTCTGTGTGCCAAGTCGTGTGCCCTTCACTTTGTGTATCTTTTTTCATTTGACAAAGCATCCACCTAGCTAGATCATGTCATCTTAACACAAGCAAGACGTGGACTGAGAAAACACACATAGGCTGCCATTTACGAAGCACCTACTGTGTGCCAGGCTCTGACACCAAGGGGTTTGGAGGGAAGTTTGGAGTAGGGTTCCTGCCAAGGAGTAGCCTGGCAGGGCTAGGAACCCACTATTTTTTGAAGGCCTATTATGTGCCAGACTGCTTGAAGCACTTTACATAGGTGATACAGATTTTTGCCTTAGTTAAAAATTCTAGGCTGGGTTTGGTGGCTCAGGTCTATAATCCCAAAACTTTGGAAGGCTGAAGTGGGAAGATTGCTTGAGGCCAGGAGTTCAAGACCAGGCTAGATAACAGAGTGAGACCCCATCTTTACTAAAACTTTTAAAAATTAATTGGGCATGGTGGCACTTGCCTGTAGTCCCAGCTACTCAGGAGGCTGAGGTGAGAAGATTCCTTAAGCCCGGGAATTTGAGGCTGCCATGAGTTATGACCATGCCACTGCACTCCAGAATTTCTACAAGCAACACATGAGTACATATTCATTGTAACAACAACAAATCAGATGAAATGAAATTCCTGTTTCCTCCCCTCAGTCCCCTTCCTTGGAGCACCTTATACTGTTGACAGTTTGGTGTGCATCCTTGCAGACCTTTCTCCATATGTTTATAAACATGTATATATCTGTAGATTTAAGAGTCTTGTTTTGTGGTGTTTCTTCCTTAATTCATATTTTATGAATGGGATAACATTGTAGACATTGTTCTGCAACTTGTTTTTTTGTTTGGCTTGGTTTGATTTGGTTTCCACTTAACAATACGTCTCAGAGATGCTTCCCTCTTCCCCTCACAATAGACAGATGGGCAAGACCCGGATACGGGAAGTGGGCACACACCCAGACACACAAAGGCCCCTCACACACAGATACTCAACCAACTGGAGACACAGCCTGAGCTGGGCTGGCCTTGCCTCCTGCCCCATCCTCACTGATCTCACGCATCATCTCCTGTGCCTGGCAGGGTGAGCTGGAGCGGCAGCTGCTTCAGGCCAACCCCATCCTAGAGGCCTTCGGCAACGCCAAGACGGTGAAGAATGACAACTCCTCCCGATTCGTGAGTGCCAGGAGTGGGCAGTGCTGGCTGTGTCAGGGATACAGGAACTGGGAACCTGGGAGTGGACTTCAGCGGGAAAGACATGTGGATCTGTTGAGGGAGGAGGGGCTGGGGTCCTGGACTCTTGAGTCTGAGGGAGGAGGGGCTGGGGGCCCCAGACCCCTGGGTCTGAGGGAGGAGGGGCTGGGGGCCTGGACTCTTGAGTCTGAGGGAGGAGGGGCTGGGGGCCTGGATCCCTGGGTCTGAGTGAGAATGGGCTGGAGGCTGGGTGCCTGATTCCAAGGGAGGAGCAGCTGGGGACCGGGGGCTGGGGAAAGAAGTCCAAGGAGCCAAGACCTTGAATTCCCACGGAGTCCCTCGCTGGGGACTCACCACAGGATGGGGGTCAGGTAGAGGCAGCAAGGAAGCGCGGAGGCAGCCCCAGCTCTGGGAGCAGTGGGTGTGGGGTTTGGGCTGTTCTTCAGGTCTGAGCCGGGAAGGGGACCCTCCACTGAAGCCCACCCACCTTGGTCTCTCCCAGGGCAAATTCATCCGCATCAACTTCGACGTTGCCGGGTACATCGTGGGCGCCAACATTGAGACCTGTATCCTGTCACAGCCCAGGGGGGTGGCAGCCGAGGGGGCAGCCTTTCAGACAGCACTGAGTATGGGAAGCACCTCCCACCGCAGGGACCCCCTCCCTGCTACTCAGATGGGACCGGGTGCTCAGGCGGCATCTGCATGGGGAGGGGAGGGTGAGACTTTTGGTGTGTATGAGGCCAGTACAGCCTTGCTATGGGGTGGTTGGTTGGCGTCCACCCAGTTCAGCCATAAGGGGAGTCCCAGCACTCAGCCTGCAGTGGCACTCATGGTGACCCATGACAGTGAAATGACATAGAGCAGTGTAAGCAAAGGGAAAAGGCATGTGGGGCCATGTCCCCCGGGGACCAGGCACAGGCTCCTAGAACCCTCTCCAGCAGAGGCGCACAGGACACCAGGTGGGGCAACACCTATGAAATGCTGTCCCAGGGAAGCGCAGAGAGACTCAGTGTCAGGGTTTTCGTTGGGGGCTGGTCACGTCCCTGCCTGTTCCCCCCATCCTCCTGCCCTTAGTATGAACCTAAATTCCACACTCCCAGGAGGAAAGCAGGTGATCAGTGTAAACCACGGTGTTTGCACAAACCCTTTAGGCCCCGCGAACCCCTCTCATCCTGTTAGAGGATGCTGGAACCCTCCTGAAATCCAGGTCCCCAGACGTTAGCCAGGGGCCCACCTGGCCAGCAGGCCTTTCCAGGGGAGCATCTCAGGCCGGCTGTGTTCACCCTTTTCTGTTCAGACGGCATATGGGTGTTTAAAGGAAATTAAACGATAAAACACAAGCACTCTGGGAGTGCAGAAATTAAGAGGATGGGCCAAGAAGTCGTACCAACCTGGGTTCAAATCCCAGTTCTGCCACTTTGAGACTCTGGGGACTTGGGTACGTGATTTGGCCTTTCCCTGCCTCAGTTTCTCCCTCTGTAGAAGGAGAAGGAACATAGAACCTACCCTAGAGGGGCTTGGAGGATTTTGGAGTTAAATGCTTGGCCACAGCACCTGCTACATAGCAGGCACTCAAGAACAAGCTATTGTTATTAGCAATTAGTGATTAAATTAGTGACCAGGCATGGTGGCTCAAGCTTGTAATGCCAGTACTTTGGGTGGCCAAGGCAGGTAGGTCATTTGAGGCCAGGAGTTTGAAGGGTTAAGCAAAGTGTCTGGTGTTTTGTTTTACTATAAGATGTCTTGGCTGGGTGCAGTGGCTCATGCCTATAATCCCAGCACTTTGGGAGGCTAAGGCTGGAGGATCGCTTGAGCTCAGGAATTCGAGGCCAGTCTGGGCATCATAGCGAGACCTCATCTCTACTAAAATAAAGAAAATTTAAAAATTGGCCAGGTATGGTTGTGTACACCTGTAGTCCCAGCTACTCAAGAGGCTGAGGTGGGAGTATCGCTTGAGCTGGGGAAGCGGAGGTTATAGTGAGCTCTGCCTTGTGCTGCTGCACTCCAGCCGGGGCAACAGAGCCAGACCCCATCTAAAAAACAAAAAACAAGAGTCTTGCCACCTTTTAATATGTAAGTTTGACACGTGACTTTCTTAGGAGGGAGAGCATGCAGAGACAGTCTGGTTGAAGATGGGAGCTGAGGTATCTGCATGGGGAAGCTGAGGCTGGGAGAGTACTAATGGCAGGAGACATTCTCACCCGCGGGTAACTTTGAACCAGGCATTGTTCAGAGTGCTTCATGCACGATAAGTCATTTATCCTCACAGCAACTCATCCAGGATCAATGAGGGGTTTTTTTGTTTTGTTTTGTTTTGTTTTTGAGACGAAGTCTCACTCTGTCGCCCAGGCTGGAGTGCAATGGCGCAATCTTGGCTCACTGCAACCTCCTCCTCCCAGGTGAAAGCGATTCTCCTGCCTCAGCCTCCAGAGTAGCTGGGATTACAGGCACCTGCCATCACACCTGGCTAATTTTTGTATTTTTAGTAGAGATGGGGTTTCACCATGTTGGCTAGGCTAGTCTTGAACTCCTGACCTCAGGTGATCCACCTGCCTCGGTTTTCCAAAGTGCTGGGATTACAGATGTGAGCCACTGCACCCACAGGGTTGATGAGTTTTTTTAGAGACAGAGCAAGACCCTGTCTCTAAAAAGAGAGAGAGAGAGAGGAAGGTCTCATAAAGGTGTTACTTTTTGAGCCCCTTGAACAGGTAGATGAGGAAACTGAGGCACAGGTGCTTACATGACATCAGCACGGCTGCTCATCCAGTTAGTGGCAAAGTCACTAGCCTGGGCTGTGAACGACTCCACTGCTCCACAGGCGAGAAGGAGGCAGCGTGGGCAGGGCAGGCTCCTGTAGTGGCCTGGCAGCGTCTGGGCCGTCCCTTCCCCTCTATCTAGCACCTTGACTCGCTGTGACCAGACCTGCTGGAGAAGTCGCGGGCCATCCGCCAGGCCAAGGACGAGTGCAGCTTCCACATCTTCTACCAGCTGCTGGGGGGCGCTGGAGAGCAACTCAAAGGTCAGTGCCGCCCTGTCTCACCCTGCTCACCAGGGAGAGGGTGGGTACCTCGTCTCTTGGGGGACCCCCTCTGGGGAGGAAGCAAGAGGTGGGTCTCTAATATCCGTCAAACACTGACTTCACATGAGGCTTCCGCAGCCCCGGCTCTCCCTGCGTAGTGGCGTCTGTCGCACGGTGGGTTCTGCTGCGCTCTGGTTCCAGCTCTGTCCCGGGTCTGGCTCGCGCCCGCTGTTCACGGCCACGCAGCCCCCGCCGCCTGGTGGCTCCTGCTCACGCTCGCTTCCGAAGCTCCGTGGCTTCTCTCTCGCGCGGCTTCTCCTCACTCCGGCGGGTGACTCCGGCTTTGCTGAGGCTCTTCCTGGTTCCTGACGACGCTGGTTTGTGTTGCTTCTCGGCTCCTGCTGCCTCGTGCTCCCCTCTGCTCTGGTTCCTAGGCCACGGCTCCTGCCGGAGTCCTCCTGTCCCTGCTCCTCCTGCCCTCTGGCTGCCCAAGCGCCCTTGGCTTCTGTTTGCAGTGGCTGGCACTGCCCTGCGGCTCCCTGTGCTCCTGGCTCCTTCCTCCTGGTGGCTGAGGCCGCTTCCTGCCTCCTGCGGCCACGTAGCCCCTCCTCATCCAGGTTCCCACTCACTGTGGCCTTTGAGACCGCATGTCCTTGGGCACCGGCCCCTGCCATCACATGACTTGTGCTGACTTGGGCCTGCAGCCCCCCTGCTTCTGCCAACCAGTGGCCCCTGCCTGCTCTGGGCACTTCTAGAGACTCGAAAGTCCCTGCGGAGGGAGCAAAGAGGAGTGGTGTAGGATGGGCGGGGGCTCATGCCTGCAATCCCAGTACTTTGGGAGGGCGAGGCAGGAGGATTGCTTGAGCCCAGCAATTCCAATCCAGCCGGGGCAGCATAGTGAGACTCCATCTCTATAAAATATAATAATAATAATAATAAGCTGGGCGTGGTGGCACACAGCTGTAGTCCCAGCTATGTGGGAGGCTGAGGTGGGAGGATTGCTTGAGCCCAGGAGTTTGAGGCTGTGGTGAGCCGTGATTGCATCACTGCACTCCAGCCTGGGCAACAGAGTAAGACCCTGTCTCTAAAAAAATTTTTAAAAAGTCAGGGCACGGTGGCTCACACCTGTAATCCCAGCAGTTTGGGAGGCCGAGGCGGGCGGATCACGAGATTAGGAGATCGAGACCATTCTGGCCAACACGGTGAAACCCCGTCTCTACTAAAAATACAAAAAAATTAGCTGGGCGTGGTGGCAGGCGCCTGTAGTCCCAGCTTCTTGGGAGGCTGAGGCAGGAGAATGGCGTGAACCCGGGAGGCGGAGCTTGCAGTGGGCTGAGATCCGGCCACTGCACTCCAACCTGGGCGACAGAGCGAGACTCCGTCTAAAAAAAAAAAAAAAAAAAAAGAGAGAGAGAGAGTGGTGGTCTCATAGGTGCTAAACGCCCACTCCACCCCCGACCCTTCCCACCATACTTGGGAGTAAAGGCCTCTGCCTGCTTGAGAGAGAGGATGTGGCATGTCCTGGGATTGCCACCGATGAATCCAGGATGAGTCCGACTCCACAGCCCACCCTTGACCTTGACCCCGCTCATTGCCCCTGCAGCTGACCTCCTCCTCGAACCCTGCTCCCAGTACCGGTTCCTGACCAACGGGCCATCATCCTCTCCTGGCCAGGAGCGGGAACTCTTCCAGGAGACGCTGGAGTCGCTGCGGGTCCTGGGATTCACGCACGAGGAAATCATCTGTGAGTGAGCCCCATGGAGGCCAGGGTCGGGGGGCACCCACGGAGAGCCGGGGACCTGGCCATTGATGCCCTGATCTCTTTGCTCAAGTGTTTATTGAGCACCTACTGTGTGCAGGCACTAGGGCCAGAGCAGGACATGAGGCTCACAGACATCGCTGCCTTGGGGAAGCTGATAAAATGAGAGCCCCCAACCAAGTCAATAAGGAATCACATGGCCTGTTAGTAGACTATGAGTGCAGCTGGGCGCGGTGGCTCACGCCTGTAATCCCAGCACTTTGGGAGTCCGAGGCGGGTGGATCATTCGAGGTCAGGAGTTTGAGACCAGCCTGGCCAACATGGTGAAACACCGTTTCTACTGAAAATACAAAAAAGTTAGCCAGGCGTGGTGGTGGGCACCTGTAATCCCAGCTACTCAGGAGGCTTAGGCAGGAGAATCGCATGAACCTAGGAGGCGGAGGTTGCAGTGAGCTGAGATTGCACCACTGCACTCCAGCCTGGGTGACAGAGTGAGACTCCGTCAAAAAAAAAAAAAAAAAAAAAAAAAAAAAAAAAAAAAAAAAAAAACCATGAGTGCCATGGAGAAAGATAAGCCAGGGGACTGGGGAGGGAGGGACACAGCTTTAAGCAGGGGCTTACAGGAGGGTGGACTGAGATGGGGATGTTTGAGCAAAGTCCTGAGGAAGTGAGGGAATGAGCACTGGAGATGTGGGGGAAGAGCGTTCCTGGCAGAGGGAACAGCTGGTGCAAAGGCCCTGAGGCAGGAAAGGGGTGGCATATTTGAGGGGTTGACACTTCTGGTGGTGGGGCTGCAGAGGGGTGAGGAGTCTCACACACCAGCCTAGGAGGTTGGGACTTTATCCTGGGGTGCTGGGGAGCTGTGGGAGGGCTGAGAGCAGGGGCTGGACAAAGTCAGCTCTGGGAGCAAGAAGACCCCTCGGGGGCCATGTGAGGGACACACTGGAGTGGGTGGTGCTGAGACCAGAAGGAGGCTGCTGAGGGTCTAGGGAAAGCCCAGGATGCTGGCCCAGGGCTGCAAGGTTGGCCCAGGCTGCGCGGCACTGGTTGTTTGGTGTTAAGTGCTCAGCTCGTCACCCCTGTGTCAGGGTGCTGTGCCCGACCCCTTTTTTTTCTTTTGAGATGGAGTCTCACTCTGTCGCCCAGGCTGGAGTGCAGTGGCGCGATCTCAGCCCACTGCAACCTCCGCCTCCCGTATTCAAGTAATTCTCCTGCCTCAGCCTCCTGAGTAGCTGGGATTACAGGCACCCGCCACCACGCCTGGATAATTTTTCTATTTTCAGTAGAGATGGGATTTCACCATGTTGGCCAGGCTGGTCTCAAACTCCTGACCTCAGGTGATCCACCCTCCTCGGTCTCTCAAAGTGCTGGGATTCCAGGCATGAGCTGCTGTGCCCAGCCTGTGCCCCCACTTTTTTCGCCAAACAGCACGTTTTGACAGCAGCTGTGTTTCAGTGCTGCATTAGTTTGCTTAGGCTAACAAAGTACCACAAACCAAGTGCCTAAAACAACAGAAATTGATCGTCTTGTGGTCCTGGAGGCCAGACGCCCGGGATCATCGTGTTAGCGAGGGTGGTTCGTCCTGGGAGAATCGGCTCTAGGCCTCTCCCCGGGCTCCTGGTGGTTTTCTGGCAATCTTTGGCATTCCTTGGTTCATAGTCACATCACCCGATCTGTGCTTTTGTGTTCATATGGCAGCTCCCTATGTGTGCAGCTGTGTCCAAAATCCCCACTTCCCCGCCCCCGCAACCTTTTTGTTTTTTTTGAGACGGAGTCTCACTCTGTTGCCCAGGCTGGAGTGCAATGGCACAATCTCAGCTCACTGCAACCTCCACCTCCTGGGTTCAAGCGATTCTCCTGCCTCAGCCTCCTAAGTAGCTGGGATTACAGGCGTGCGCCACCACACCTGGCTAATTTTTTTGTACTTTTAATAGAGACGGGGTTTCACTAAGTTGGCCAGGCTGGTCTTGAACTGCTGACCTCAAGTGATCCTCCCGCCTCGACCTCCCAAAGTGCTGGGATTACAGGCATGAGCCACCACACCTGGCCTCCTACCCCACTCCGGTATGACTTTATCTTTACTCATTATGTCCGTAATGACCCTGTTTCCAATAATGTCACATTCTGAGGTCCTGGGGTTTGGATCCTCAACATACCTTTTTAGATGGGGGTGGTGTGGACATGATTCAGTCCATAACAAGTACATAGGTGGACCTCCGCCTTTTCAGAGGCTGCATAATGTTTCATTGTTTGCATGAACTATGATTCTTTTAACCAAGCCCTCCAAAGAAAAACCTTTAGGTGTTTCCGGGGCTGAGCCAGGGCTGCCTCTCGGTCTAATTGTCCTCTGGCCTCTGGCGCTGTGGGAGGCCCCAGGAGCTATTGTTGGCTCCAGGGCCGGATTGGAAGGGCTGGAAATGGAGCGTAGCTTGGCTGTCTACCCAGGCTGCAAACAGCCGGGCCTCTTGTGGCCTATTGACACAGGGTCTCGGGCCTTTCCCACCCCCACCCCGCTGCATTTCCCAACCATGGTTGCATAATTCCCCGGCCTGCATGACTCCGCAGCTGGGCAGCTGGCACACAAATTCAGACTGTGGCTGCAATGGGGACCTGGGCCTCCCAGCCTGTCCTCTTAGGTCCTGCCTGGCCTCTTGTCACCATGAGCTCATGTGACCCTCCTGGCAGCTGCCCTGCTGTGTGGCGGGTGCAGGCAGCAGCTCTGATTTTTGGAATTCAGAAATAAAAACTTTGCAGCAACCTATGCATGTAGTGACATAACCTGAATGTGGCTAAAGGTCGTACCGACAAAACCAAGCCTTCCCGCTCTTGCCTGGCCCTAGTTCCCCACTGTTAAGCTTCTTGTGTCTCCTTCCAGAAATATTTTAGAAATATAAGAAAAGACACATATTATTTTTCTATAAGAGGAGGCATTCTCTAGCCCCACAGCTGATGTTCATCTGTCAACATCACTGTGGTGATAAAAAAAAAAAGTGAAGCGATTTCAAAAGTTCCGACCAGGCGCAGTGACACACACCTGTAATCCCAACAGTTTGGGAGGCCGATGCGGGCAGATCACCTGAGGTCAGGAGTTCAAGACCAGCCTGGCCAACATGGTAAAACCAGGTCTCTACTAAAAATACAAAAATTAGCCAGATATGGTGGTGTGCACCTGTAGTCCCAGTTACTCGGGAGGCTGAGGCTAGAGAATCACACGAACCTGGGAGGCAGAGGTTGCAGTGAGCCAAGATCTCACCACTGCACTCCAGCTTGGAGCAGAGCGAGACTCCGTCCACAAAAACAAAAAAGTTCCTGGACGTTGGTTGCTCCAGCTGGCTCCCTACCCTTCCACTGGAGACCCCCCTGGACCCTGGCCCAGCACTCTGGCCTAGTTTAGTCTGGGCCAGGCAGTGCTAGAGTTAAATACTCAGCTCATCATTGGCTCACTCCTGTAATCCCAACACTTCGGGAGGCCGAGGTGGGAGAATCACTTGAGGCCTGGAGTTTGAGACCAGCCTGAGCAATATGGTGAGACCCTGTCTCTACTAAAAATTTTAAAAATATATATATTAACCAGGTGTGGTGGTGCACACCTGTAGTCCTAGCTGCTTGGGAGGCTGAGGTGGGAGGATTAAGTCCAGGAGTAGGAGGCTACAGTGAGCTATGATTGCACCACTGTACTCCAGGCTGGTGATAGAATGAGACCCCATCTCAAAAAACCCCAAAACAAAGACACAAATTACTCACCCATGGAAGGATGCTCTGGACCACCCTCCCCCTCCACCCACCCACTGCCCTTTCCTACTGACTGGTATATTTTGGCCATAGTTTTGGTTCAAAATGTACAGATGGAGCTCACTCCTTTTTGCAGCTGCATAAGGTTTTATTGTTTATTTTTTATTTATTTATTTATTTATTTTTTGAGACGGAGTCTCGCTGTGTTGCCCAGGCTGGTGTGCGGTGGCCGGATCTCGGCTCACTGCAAGCTCCACCTCCCGGGTTTACGCCATTCTCCTGCCTCAGCCTCCTGAGTAGCTGGGACTACAGGCACCTGCCACCTCGCCAGGCTAGTATTTTTGTATTTTTTAGTAGAGACGGGGTTTCACCACGTTAGCCAGGATGGTCTCGATCTCCTGACCTCGTGATCCGCCTGCCTCGGCCTCCCAAAGTGCTGGGATTACAGGCTTGAGCCACCGCGCCCGGCCTGGTTTTATTGTTTAAATAAAACTATGATTCTTTCAACCAGTCCCTTGCAGATAGAGCCTTAGGTTGTTTCCATTCCATTACTATTGGAATAATTTTAAAAAAAATGCTAAGGCAGTGCAGTGGCTCGTGCCTGTAATCCCAGCACTTTCAGAGGCCAAAGCAGGCAGCTTGCTTGAGCTCAGGAGTTTGAGACCAGCCTGGGCAACATGATGAAACCCCGTCTTTACAAAAAACACAAAAATTACCTGGGCGTGGTGGTGGGCGCCTTTACTCCCAGCTACTTGGGGGGCTGAGGTGGGAGGATCGCTTGAGCCCGGGAGGTGGAGGCTGCAGTGAGCCGAGATCACGCCCCTGCACTCCAGCCTGGGTGACAAAGTGAGACTCTGGGCCCAAAACAAACAAACAAGCAACTGTGAATATCCTTGTAAGTAGGTTCTTGTGCTCATGTGGAAACAGACCTGTAGGTACAATTCTTAGAAATGAAATGCCGGCTAGGCGCAGTGGCTCACACCTGTAATCCCAGCACTTTGGGAGGCCGAGGCAGGCGGATCACGAAGTCAGAAGTTCGAGACAAGCCTGACCAACATGGTGAAACCCCGTCTCTACTAAAAACACAAAAATTAGATGGGTGTGGTGGTGCATGCCTGTAATCCTGGCTACCCGGGAGACTGAGACAGGAGAATCCCTTGAACCTGGGAGGCGGAGGTTGCCGTGAGCCAAGATCATGCCACTGCACTCCAGCCTGGGCCACAGAGCAAGGCTCTGTCTCAAAAACAGAAAAAAAAAAAAAAAAGAAAAGAAATGAAATGCCATGTCCAAAGAGATTTGTGATTCTTGTTTGTGTTCAGCATAAAAAAAAGAATCGAACAGCTTTAAGATATAATTCACATGTCACACCATTCACCTATTTAAACTGTGCGATTCCATAGAATTTTGTATATTCACAGAGTTGTGCATCTATCATACAGTCACTTTTAGAACACTTTCAGTAGCCCAAGAAGATAACACACGCCCCTTAGCTATCCCCCCAGGCCCTGTACGCAGCCCCTGGCAACCACTCCTCTGCTTTCTGTCTCTACAGACTTGCCTATTCTGGAGATTTTTGTTCTGTTTTGTTTTTTGAGACGGAGCCTCACTCTGTCGCCCAGGCTGGAGTGCAGTGCCCCGATCTTGGCTCACTGCAAGCTCCGCCTCCCGGGTTCACGCCATTCTCCTGCCTCAGCCTCCCGAGTAGCTGGGACTACAGGCGCCCGCCACCACGCCCAGCTAATTTTTTTTGTATTTTTAGTAGAGACGGGGTTTCACCGCGTTAGCCAGAATGGTCTCGATCTCCTGACCTTGTGATCCACTCGCCTCGGCCTCCCAAAGTGCTGGGATTACAGGCGTGAGCTGCCACGCCCAACCATGAGCATTTTTTAAATTGCAGAGAATCTACCTTGTCGCCATCCACAGGGTGGCGCTAGTTTCCAGTTCCTCCAGCCATATACGGGGAGCACCTGTGTATCCACCTGCACGCAGCAACCATGGCTGGAAGCTTTTTACGTTTGCTGATGTGGCGGATGAATGACCTGTCATTACAGTTGCTTTCTGTGTTTTGCTTACAAGGGGTGGAGTTGGTCACCTTTTCACAGACTCTTCTTTTGACAAGAAACAGAGGGTCAGGGAAGTGGGGTGTCCTGTCCTAGGACTCACCCCAATTCAGGAGGAGGAGGCAGAGCCGCGGTGGAATCCACATCTGACCCCAAAGCCAGCCCATGATCCAGAGAGAGAGGTGGACACCTCAGTGTCACCCACAGGGAGCCCAAGGCAGAAAGCATTTGGGGCCAATCAAGGCAGGGTGTCCATCCATCTTCTTCCCCACTTCACATCTCCACCTGCCAGCCCTTGGCACCATAAATGCCATGCTGAGAGGTTCAGCAGGTAGCCTGGGACACAGGGAGGCATGCCGGCCTCTCACATGAGGCATCCGCAGGCTGGGCTTGCTAGTGATGGGCAAGTCTGATGTCAGCAACAAGAGCTGACTGCCAAGTCCTCAGGGCATCAGATGCGCCCCGGGGCCTGGCACAAACACAGCTTTGAAGCCAACTGCAGGAGGCCATTTTAAAGGCCATTGAGGGAAGCCAGGTCTGGACGGGGTCTAAGCTGATGTTAAGGAATGATCATTAAGTTTGCTGGGCCAGATGCGCTGTGGGTCTGTGAGGTTGTGTCCTTCTTTATTTATTTTATTTATTTTTTTTTTTTGAGATGGAGTCTAGCTCTGTTGCCCAGGCTGGAGTGGAGTGCGGTGGTGTAATCTCAGCTTAGTCCAGCCTCCGCCTCCCAGCTTCAAGTAGAGCTCCCATTTCAGCCTCCCGAGTAGCTGGGGTTACAGGCGCTTGCCACCACACCCAGCTTATATTTTGTATTTTTGGTGGAGATGGGGTTTCACCATGTTGGCCAGGCTAGTCTTGAACTCCTGACCTCAAGTGATCCACCCGCCTTGGCCATTCAAAGTGCGGGTATTACAGGTGTAAGCCACCACGCCCGGCCTAGGATCCTTCATTTTATCATATCTGCAAAGTCCCTTTTGCCATGAAAGATCACATTCACAGGTCCCAGGGATTCGGTTATGGGTATTGTTGGGGGCTGTTATTCATCCTGCCACCCCCTCTGAAAACATCAGTGTGTATTTCCTAAGAACATTCTTTTACACAACCACAGACCCGCAGTGTCACCAGGAAATCGACTTCAGCACAGTACCATTATCCAGTCCACAGACCTTACACCAGTTGTCCCCCAGCTCCAAAAAAAAATTCTCTCTTGCGCATAATGGAGTTTCGCTCTTGTTCCCCAGGCTGGAGTGCAGTGGCCCGATCTCGGCTTACAGCAACCTCTGTCTCCCGGGTTCAAGTGATTCTCCTGCCTCAGGCTCCCGAGTAGCTGGGGTTACAGGTGCACGCCACCACGCCCGGCTAATTTTGTGTTTTTCATAGAGACACAGTTTCTCCATGTTGGCCAGGCTGGTCTCGAACTCCTGACCTCAGATGATCCACCCGCCTGGGCCTCCCAAAATGCCGGGATTGCAGGCTTGAACCGCTGTGCCCAGCCCTCTTGCTCTCTTTTTTTCCTAGTCATCACATCTCTTTTTTTTTTTTTTTTTTTTTTTTGAGACGGAGTCTCACTCTGTCACCCAGGCTGGAGTGCAGTGGTGTGATTTTGGCTCACTGCAAGCTCCGCCTCCTGGGTTCACACCATTCTCCTGCCTCAGCCTCCCGAGTAGCTGGGACTAAAGGCACCCGCCACCACGCCCGGCTAATTTTTTGTATTTTTAGTAGAGATGGGGTTTCACCATGTTAGCCAGGATGGTCTCAATCTCCTGACCTCGTGATCCGCCTGCCTCGGCCTCCCAAAGTGCTGGGATCACAGGCATGAGCCACCGTGCCCGGCCCACATCTCTTTACTCTCCTTCAATCTGGAACTCTTCCTGAGTCTTTATCATTCATGGTTTTGACACTTTGGAAGATTACAGACTGGTTGTTTCGTCTCTATTTGGGTTTGTTTCCCTGCGATTACGTTCTAGTTACGTTTTTGGCAGGAGTATTCCAGAAGAAATGCCAACCTCCCACCCCCACTCACACACACCTTTTTCTAAGCCACTTTTGTGTTGAAGTACAGTATATACACCAATAAAATGAGCACAAGCCCTTGGCATCCAGCTTAGGGGAGTTTTGGGAGGGAACACTCTGTATATCCAGCACCCGGGAGCCCCCCATGTCCCTTCCCACCACCAGTACCCCCTCAAGGTAACCATTATTCTGACTTTTTTTTTTTTTTCTTTTTTGAGACAGAGCCTCGCTCTGTCGCCCAGGCTGGAGTGCAGTGGTGCGATCTCAGCTCACTGCAAGCTCCGCCTCCTGGGTTCACACCATTCTCCTGCCTCAGCCTCGCGAGTAGCTGGGACTACAGGTGCCCGCCACCATGCCTGGCTAACTTTTTTTTTTTGTATTTTTAGTAGAGACAGGGTTTCACCATGTTAGCCAGGGTGGTCTCGATATCCTGACCTCGTGATTGTCCACCTCGATATCCCAAAGTGCTGGGATTACAGGCATAAGCCACTGCGCCCAGCCCATTATTCCAACTTCTGAGTATGGAGTTGTGTTGCCTCTTCTTGGGTTTGTTACAAATAGAATCACATGGTGTGCACTTTCTCACCTGGCTTCTTTCACTCGACCGTGTGTTTGTGACATTCATCTGTGTTCAGTGAGGGAAGGGGGCTTTGGAGAAGCCGGTTCCACAGACTCATTGGCTTTGTAAACGTTCCTGGAGCTGGACATCTATAATATGTGTCCTTTTCTGTATGTGTGCTGTGCATATGTATTTACATTCATAAACCTATGCTAACCTATGCTAACCAGTGCAAGTCACAAGAAGCGACTATACTTTTTATTTACCCCCTTTTGCACATAGATAGCAGTAAGCCGCACACAACATTCGTCACCTCCTATTTTTCACCCATTGTGGTAGAAGTCTTTCCATATCACTGTAGACCTTCTTTCATTTCCCTAAGTCCTTTTAAATTCTATTTGCATTGTATCACAAAATACACAACGTAAGCAGACACTGGTTAAGTATCATAGCGATAGGGCAAACCTCAGATATAATAAACTCAAACCAGAATTCACTGATCTGTTCACATATTTCAAGGCCTGCCAGTGTCAAAGATGGAGTCTTTTTTTTTTTTTTTTTTTGAGATGGAGTCTTGCTGTATTGCTCAGGCTGATCTCAAACTCCTGGGCTCAAGTGATCCTCCCGCCTCGCCCTCCCAGAGTGCTGGGATTACAGGTGTGAGCTATCACGCCCAGCCCACAAGTGGATTCTAAGATGAGGGGTGGTGATATAATTTGCCTTAAGCTTTTTAAGTTACATTTTTAAGGGGCCAGTTAAGACCACACATCAGGGTCCAGAACCACACGTGACCTCTGTCCTTGTGTCCCCAGCCATGCTGCGGATGGTCTCGGCAGTTCTGCAGTTCGGCAACATCGCCTTGAAGAGAGAGCGGAACACGGATCAAGCCACCATGCCTGACAACACAGGTACTGCCCCCGGCCTGCCTGCCCACGACCCCCAGCCCCCACTCAGGCGGTGCCCAGCCCTCCTGCACCCCTGTCCCACATAGAAAGCACCCCGCTTCCAGCCACACCTGTCTCCATCCCAGGATCACTCTGATTTCCTTCTTTTTTTTTTTTTTTTTTTTTTTTGAGATGGAGTCTCGCTCTGTCGCCCGGGCTGGAGTGCGGTGGTGCTATCTTGGCTCACTGCAAGCTCCACCTCCCAGGTTCATGCCATTCTCCTGCCTCAGCCTCCCGAGTAGCTGGGACTACAGGCGCCCAACACCACGCCTGGCTAACTTTTTGTATTTTTAGTAGAGATGGGGTTTCACCCTGTTAGCCAAGATGGTCTCGATCTCCTGACCTCGGGATCCACCCACCTCGGCCTCCCAATGTGCTGGGATTACAGGCGTGAGCCACCGCACCTGGCCGATTTCCTGCTTTTTGCTGAGTCTTTGCCAAAATAACATCTACCACTCTTTTCCTGACTCTAAAAGTGTGAAAGTGAACCACAGCAGCAAGACAGAGGGGAATAGCAGGAGCCCGTCCTCCCAGACCCTCTCGCCCCACAGGGAGCCACCATTAGCGTTTGGCATAGCTTCTCCAGCCTCTGCAGAGACAGTTCTTTTTGCCTTTCAAGAACAGAATTATAGTCAATATCCCCTACTTTAAACCAAAATAGAAATAGCTATGTTTATTATTATAAAATAATACAAGCTGGAAGGGGAAAAATCGGCATGACAGAAAAGTAGAAAGGAAGAGAGAGGATTACCCACAATCACCTGTAATCCCAGCACTTTGGGAGGCCAAGGCGGATGGATCACTTGAGGCCATGAGTTCGAGACCAGCCTGGCCAACATGGCAAAACTCCTTCTCTACTAAAAATACGAAAATTAACTGGGAGTGGTGGCGAGTGCCTGTAGTCCCAGCTACTCGGGAGGCTGAGACAGGAGAATTGCTTGAACCCGGGAGGCGGAGGTTGCCATGAGCCGAGATTGTGCCATTGCACTCTAGCCTAGGCAACGGAGCAAGAATCTGTCTCCAAAAAAAAAAAGGAAGAAAAAGACAATTACCCGTAATCATACCCCCAGAGATAATTGCTGCTCACATTTTGGGATGTGTCTCTCTGGGCTTTGTTCTGTGTCTGTATCACTGTGGATATAGATTGTCACAGAAATGGAATCGTGCTTCACCCGCTCTTCCCCTGGAGACAGCAAGAGCTTTCTGTCCTGGTTATGAAATCCGACAGGCTCATTTCTAAAAGCTGCACAGCACAGAAAATAGGAGGATAGGATGCATTACCCCACGATGCTGCTGGTAACAGCATTACCTGAGGCAGCTGGGGGCTCTGTACATAGGCACCCGGCAGGTGTGCCGTGCACACACATTTACTCATTTGTTTTACAAAACTGGAGTCAGACCCTGCAAACTGTTTTGAAACCTGCTTTTTTTTCCCCCTGAATGCTTTGGGGATAATTTTCAGGTTATTCACAAGAACTCTACTGAGATCCCTTCCCTCCCTTCCTCCTTCCCTCCCTCCTTCCCTCCCTTCTTCCTTCCTTCCTTTAGACAGAACTTTCTTGGGTTCCCCCCTCCTTCCTTCCTTCCTTCCTTCCTTCCTTCCTTCCTTCCTTCCTTCCTTCCTTCCTTCCTTCCTTCCTTCTTTTCCTTCCTTCCTTTCTCCCTTCCTTCCTTCCTTCCTCTTTTAGATGAAGTCTCACCCAGGCTGGAGTGCAGTGGCACCATCTCAGCTCACTGTAGCCTCCATCTCCCATGTTCAAGCAATTCTCCCTGCCTCAGCCTCCCGAGTATCTGGGATTACAGGCACGCGCCACCATGTCAGGCTAATTTTTGTATTTTTAGTACAGACGGGGTCTCACCATGTTGGCCAGGTTGGTCTCAAACTTCTGACCTCAGGTAATCTGCCTGCCTTGGCCTCCTAAAGGGCCTCCCTGGGATTACAGGCAGGAGTCACCGTGCCCGCCTCCAGTGTAGCTTTTAGTGACTGCAGAACATTCTTTCAAATGGGCCAGGCACCTGTAATCCCAGCTGCTCAGGAGCTGAGGCAGGAGAATCACTTGAACCAGGGAGGCGGAGGTTGTAGTGAGCTGAGATTGCATCACTGCACTCCAGCCTGGGTGATGAGAGCCAAACTCTGTCTCGAAAACAAAACAAAACAACAACAACGACAAAAAACACATTCAGAATATTCTTTCAAATGGATGAAGCCCGACCCATCTAACCAACGCCCACTTCTTGGGCCCTCAGGTTGTTTCCTGGTTTTCTCCGATTATAAACAACACTGCTCTGAACATCCTCGTGGTGCGGTCTTTGCTCACGTGTGGGTTATTTTGCCAGTTCTGGTTCCTGGAAAGAGAACAGCTGGGCAGAGAACGTACACACTTTTGGGACTCGTAATGCCTCTCCTGGGAAAGGCGGGGCCCGTCTTCTGCTCCCCCAGCAGTGTGGGGAACGGTGCCCTCTCCCTTGCTGGGCAGCAAGCGCCTCTTCCCAGTGCTGATTGGATCTTGGTGCCTCTCGCCCTCAGCTGCACAGAAGCTCTGCCGCCTCTTGGGACTGGGGGTGACGGATTTCTCCCGAGCCTTGCTCACGCCTCGCATCAAAGTTGGCCGAGACTACGTGCAGAAAGCCCAGACGAAGGAACAGGTAGGCAGGGCCGGCGGTGGGAGGCACAGGAAGAGCCAGGCACCCTGGCCCTGGGTCTTTAAACAGCGTATGCCATTTTTCCCACCACGCAACATTTTGCTGAGTGCCCGCTGTGTTACCGATCCTGGTCTAGGTGCCAGGAATAAAAGCAGTCGTCAAGACAAATACCAGGCCCTCAGGGACCTCAAGTGATAGTAAGGAAATGGATAATAAAAGTTAAACGGGATGTGGCTGGGAGTGGTGGCTCGCGCCTGTAATCCCCGCACTGTGGGAGGCCAAGGTGGGAGGATTGCTTGAGCCCGCGAGTTTGACGCTGCAGTGAGCCGTGATTGCACTACTGCACTCCAACCTGGGTGACAGAGTGAGACTCTGTCTCTAAAAAAATTAAAAAGTTAAAAAATTTAACAACAATTTAAAAAAACAGGATATAAATGCAACATGGTATTCTAGAAAAACAAAAAACAAAAGCTCAGGATGGTTTTAGATGGTGACAGCACCTATGAAGGGGAGGTGTGGTTGGTCAGGGAAGTCCTCTCTAAGGACATAATATTCGAGGGGAGACCTAGACGGTTTGAGGCAGACGGAACTGCAAGTGTAAAGGCCCTGGGGGTGGAGCAGGCTTGGGGAGTTGGGAGCATTAAGAGGGTCAGTGAGGCCGGGTGTGGTGGCTCACGCCTATAATCCCAGCACTTTGGGAGGCCAAAGAGGACAGATTGAGCTCAGGACAGATTGAGTTCAAGACTAGCCTGGGCAACATGGTGAAACTCCATCTCTACTAAAATACAAAAATTAGCTGGGCGTGTGGCACACACCTGTAGTTCCAGCTACTCGAGAGGCTGAGACACGAGAATCACTTGAACCTAGGAGGCAGAGGTTGCAGTGAGCTGAGATCATGCCACTGCACTCCAGCCTGGGTGACAGAGCGAGACTCTGTCAAAAAAAAAAAAAAAGGGAAGGAAGGGAGGGAGGAAGGAAGGAAGGAGAGAGAGAGAGAGAGAAAGGAAAGAAAGAAAGAGAAAGAAAGAAAGAGAGAAAGAGAGAGAGAAAGAAAAAGAAGGAAAGAAGGAAAAGGAAGGAAGGAAGGAAGGAAGGAAGGAAGGAAGGAAGGAAGGAAGGAAGGAAGGAAGGAAGGAAGGAA